CTTTTGGTGTCATTACCATCAGGAAAAGATTCTCCATCATTTCATAAGAAAAAAATAAATTTTTTTCCAAAAATTTTGCAACACCAGGAGTCACTTCAGGATTTGGTGTTGCAACAGTCAAAGGGTTAAAGTGCAGGCACTGTACTTACCATTTTCAGGACTCAAGTCTGGCTAACCAGTTTCCCTGAATCCCTTCACAAAATATTGCCCTGCTCACACTCCAACAGCTTTTCAGGTTCCAAAAAACCATTCATCACCATTCACTCCTAACACGCTCGTACACGCTTGATGGAAGTCCAAGCCCCTCGCCCACAAAGCCTCCTTTATCTCCTCCCTCCAACCTTTTCAGGGACAACCCCTACCCCGCCTTCCTTCTCCTACAGATTTATACACTCTTCAAGTCATTCTTTGTTCCATTCTCTCTAAATGACCAAACCACCTCAACAGCCCCTCTTCAGCCCTCTTACTAATAATTTTAGTAATTCCACACCTCCTCCTAATTTCCACACAATGAATTCTCTGCATAATATTTACAGTACACATTGCCCTTAAACATGACATATCCACTGCCTCCAGCCACCTCCTCGCTGCAGCATTTACAACCCATGCTTCACACCCATATGAGAGTGTTGGTACCACTATACTCTCGTATGTTCCCTTCTTTGCCTCCATGGATAACGTTCTTTGTCTTCACAGATACCTCAACACACCACTCACTTTTTTTCCTTCATCAATTCTATGGTTAACTTACAACCCCAGCTATAAAAATGTTAAACAACCATGGTGACATTACACATCCCTGTCTAAGACCTACTTTTACTGGGCAGTAATTTCTCTTTCTCTTACACACCCTAACCTGAGCCTCACTATCCTCATAAAAACTCTTCACAGCATTTAGTAACTTACTACCTATTCCATACACTTGCAAAATCTGCCATATTGCTCCCCTATCCACTATCATATGCCTTTTCTAAATCCACAAATGCAATGAAAACTTCCCTACCTTTATCTAAATATTGTTCACATTCGTATATGCTTCAATGTAAACACCTGATCTACACATCCCCTACCCATTCTAAAGCATTCTTGCTCATCTGCAATCCTGCTCTCTGTCCTACCTCTAATTCTTTCGATAATAACACTACCATACACTTTACCTGGTATACTCAGTAAACTTCTTTTTCTTTTAACACACCGGCCGTATCCCACCGAGGCGGGGTGGCCCAAAAGCAAAAACGAAAGTTTCTCCTTTTACATTTAGTAATATATACAGGAGAAGAGGTTACTAGCCCCTTGCTCCTGGCATTTTAGTCGCCTCCTACAACACGCATGGCTTATGGAGGAAGAATTCTGTTCTACTTTCCCATGGAGGTAAGAGGAAATAAACAAGAACAAGAACTAGTAAGAAAATAGAAGAAAACCCAGCGGGGTGTGTATATATATGCTTGCACATGTATGTGTAGTGTGACCTAAGTGTAAGTAGAAGTAGCAAGACGTACCTGAAACCTTGCGTGTTTGTAAGACAGAAAAATGGACACCAGCAATCCTACCATCATGTAAAACAATTAAAGGCTTTCGTTTTACACTCACTTGGCAGGACGGTAGTACCTCCCTGGGTGGTTGCTGTCTACCAACCTACTACCTATCTCAGTAAACTTATTCCCCTATAATATTTACTATCTCTTTTGTCCCCTTTCCCTTTACATAAAGGAATTATACACACACTCTGCCAATCCTTAGGTACCTTCCCCTCTCTCATACATTTATTCAACAAAAATACCAACCACTCCAACACTACAACCCCCCTGCTTTTAATATTTCTGTCATGATCCCGTCAATTCCAGCTTCTTTACCCACTTTCATTCTACGTAATGCCTCATGCACCTTCCCCACACTCACATCCTGCTCTTCTTCACTCCCAAAAGATGTTATGCCTCCCAGGCCAGTGCATGAAATTACTGCCTCCCTTTCTTCATCAACATTTAGAAGTTCCTCAAAATATTCCCGCTCCGGCTCCTCAAATATACTTCCAGCTCTCCATCTACTCATGGAACTTCGTGTTCATCAAGAACTGCAAGAAGCCCCTATCACGAGCTTTTACCATCCTATGGAGAGGGAGCATGGACACAGGGGTCGTCCCACAGTTACTAAAAACAACAGACATAGCCCAACTCCACAAAGGGGGCAGTAAAGCAATAGCAAAGAACTACAGACCAATAGCACTAATATCCCATATCATAAAAATCTTAGAAAGGGTCCTAAGAAGCAAGATCGCCACCCATCTAGAAACACATCAATTACACAACCCAGGGCAACATGGATTTAGAACAGGTTGCTCCTGTCTGTCTCAACTATTGGATCACTACGACAAGGTCCTAGATGCACTAGAAGACTAAAAGAATGCAGATGTAATATATACAGACTTTGCAAAAGCCTTCGACAAGTGTGACCATGGCGTAATAGCGCACAAAATGCGTGCTAAAGGAATAACAGGAAAATTTGGTCGATGGATCTATAATTTCTTCACAAACAGAACACAAAGAGTAGTAGTCAACAGAGTAAAGTCCGAGGCAGCTACGTTGAAAAGCTCTGTTCCACAAGGCACAGTACTCGCTCCCATCTTGTTCCTCATCCTCATATCTGACATAGACAAGGATGTCAGCCACAGCACCGTGTCTTCCTTTGCAGATGACACCCGAATCTGCATGACAGTGTCTTCCATTGCAGACACTGCAAGGCTCCAGGCGGACATCAACCAAATCTTTCAGTGGGCTGCAGAAAACAATATGAAGTTCAACGATGAGAAATTTCAATTACTCAGATATGGTAAACACGAGGAAATTAAATCTTCATCAGAGTACAAAACAAATTCCTTCCACAAAATAGAGCGAAACACCAACGTCAAAGACCTGGGAGTGATCATGTAGGAGGATCTCACCTTAAGGACCATAACATTGTATCAATCGCAGCTGCTAGAAAAATGACAGGATGGATAATGAGAATCTTCAAAACTAGGGATGCCAAGCCCATGATGACACTCTTCAGGTCACTTGTTCTATCTAGGCTGGAATATTGCTGCACACTAACAGCACCTTTCAAGGCAGGTGAAATTGCTGACCTAGAAAATGTACAGAGAACCTTCACGCCGCGCACAACGGAGATAAAACACCTCAATTACTGGGAGTGCTTGAGGTTCCTGAACCTGTATTCCCTGGAACGCAGGCGGGAGAGATACACGATTATATACACCTGGAAAATCCTAGAGGGACTAGTACCAAACTTGCACACGAAAATCACTCACTATGAAAGCAAAAGACTTGGCAGACGATGCAACATCCCCCCAATGAAAAGCAGGGGTGTCACTAGCACGTTAAGAGACCATACAATAAGTGTCAGGGGCCTGAGACTGTTCAACTGCTTCCCAGCATACATAAGGGGGATTACCAATAGACCCCTGGCAGTCTTCAAGCTGGCACTGGACAAGCACCTAAAGTCGGTACCTGACCAGCCGGGCTGTGGCTCGTACGTTGGTTTGCGTGCAGCCAGCAGTAACAGCCTGGTTGATCAGGCTCTGATCCACCAGGAGGCCTGTTCACAGACCGGGCCACGGGGGCGTTGACCCCCGGAACTCTCTCCAGGTAAACTAACTCCCCTACTCTGTTATTAACTGACAAATCCATTTGTTCCCTAGGATTTCGTAACTTGTTTATCTCACTCCATTTTTTTCTCAGCAAAATTTCTTGATAATGCCTCTCCCACTCTATCATTTGCTTTCCTTTTGTACTCTCTCACCACTCTCTTCACCTTTCTTTTACTCTCCGTATACTCTGCCCTTCTTACATCACTTCTGTTTTGTAAAATCTCTCATAAGCTAACATTTTCTCTTTTATCGCACCCTTTACCTCATCATTCCACCAATCACTCCTCTTTCCTCCTGCACCCACCCTCCTATAGCCACAAACTTCTGCCTCACATTCTAATACTGCATTTTTAAAACTATCCCATCCCTCTTCAACCCCCCATCCCCCACTACCCATACTTGCACTAGCCCACCTTTCTGCCAATAGTTCCTTATATCTCACCTGAATTTCCTCCTCCCTTAGTTTATAAACTTTCACCTCTCTCTTACTTACTGTTGCCATTTTCTTTTTGTCTCATCTAATTATTTTTTATTATTATGCAAAGTTCTAAACACCTGTGGGTCATTCAGCCTAAGGACTGAGAGGCTTGATTGTCCATCTACTAACTGAAAGATACATACATACCTACCTGTTCACTACCTATCTTGCACAGTAATATTTTGATATCTCCAAAATTACTTGTGTTTCACTCCAATATTACAACGTCTTCTAGCACAAACCCTATCCAGCAAGAACAAGGCAGCAGAAAGCACGTAAATTATTTAACAGCATTGAATATTAACATGCATACATACACTGTTTACATCTTGCATCATATAAATAACACATTACTCGACACTCAAGCTAAACCACAAGACATCCTGGCAACGCAATTTAGTTTTACAAACATTACACACTTTCCCTAAACAAAATCACCAAAGGATGATCAAAATTGTCATGCAATATTTAAAACAAAAATTACATCAGTATATCTGGTAATCACTATCCTATATATTTTTCTGTAAATCTGTCAAACTTTTTACATTGCTTTCTTCACTCCTTAATCTTTTTAAAGGTACTCTTGGCTGCAATAACATTCTCAATATTTCCATTAAAGAATCATTAAATCAACATACATGTCAGAACAATTCTTCTCAACACTACCATCAAATCAGAGTCAAAGCAAAATTCTTTTTGTGGTTTAGGGGAAACATAACATGGATAAGGAATAAACTGACAAATCAGTAGTATTAGAAAATTTATGATTAAAGCACTCACTTTGTCTCTAGTGCTTAAAGCTCCTTAAAGATCATTGGCCTAACATGCTACAAATCATAATTTTCAACTTTATATATAGAACTGTATTATAATTTCCCTCACCTGGGTTAAGATGTCCAGCTCCAAAAAACGACCAATTTGGTATATTTCCATAGCCTCCTCCACAACGGTCATGTGTGTGCGGCCTGTTTGCACAATGCTCTGAGCTTCACTTAAACTGTTGGTGCTGGTGGAATCGCGTATAATGCAGGAAAGATCCAGAGTATCTAAATACACAGCATGAAGGAGAACGCGCGCATATCTCTTGGGTATGACACCTTCATCTAACACTATTCTAGTGGGCTGAGGGATGCCCCTTTCATACATGTCCTCACTGTATCGTTGTCTTCGCTGAATTAGGCTTCTAAAGAATGGTGAGCGTGCACTAAGAATAGCTTTATGGCAATAAAGTTCTAATCGATTATGAAAACCATAGTCTGATGGGCCAGCCTCCCCACTTTGATCGGATTGGTTCACATCACCACTCGCTGAAAACACTAACACACAGTCGGCATAATCACCAGATTCTAACAGGTACTTAAGATCGCACTCAAGCGGGTTGGGCGTCCCAAATTCCTCGCATAATTGCATTAACATGTCCAAGTTACTAAGGCCCATCTGGGCTTTGCTAGTTCCATCATACGCATTAAATTCACCAGTGTATAAGTAACGCAATAAAGCACTAAACATTGGGATGTCTATACCAGGAGTCCGTATATCCACACCAATTTGGGCTCCATATCCTGGTATCTTTTTCAGCACCTCCTGTAAAAAGAGGGAATACATGAGAAACTAGTAAGATTATACTTAAGCCAAGATTGAGTCAGAATATGCAGTATTCATGAAACTTACTCTGTTCCTAAATAATGATGTAAAACCTGCACATCAAGCTTCAGAAGAATCAAACACTGCCCACTATTTAATAAAAAATCAAGCTAAAGGCCTTAAGTTCAAACCCACAGTATTCCTTTAACACTAATCCGAGATATTCACTGGTCACTCTGCCTTGGTGGGAGACGGCTGACGTGTTAAAAAAAAAAAGAAAAAAAAAAAATCACTGAACTAGAATGCTTCATAAATATTCACTAGACTAAACAGATTAAAATACACTACACAAATTGGTTTAATTTAATAACCCAAAATATGAAATGGTAATTATAACAAGTTTTAGCAAACAAACTACACCTACCATCCGACTTACGACCTGCTCGACTTACGACCACTCGACTTACGACCGTGTTTTTTATGCCAAATTTCTGGGAAATAAACAACTATTTGTGTTGTACACAGTGTTTATCCTAAACCTTACAGTATAAAATACACTACTAACAGCATAAAAAGTAAAGTAAAACATGAAATATCAAAATAAAACTATAAAATAAAGTCATTACAAAAATGTTTTGTTGATATTCAGTAGTAAAGTTCGACTTAAGACCATTTCGACTTACGACCGGTTTCTCGGAACCGAACTCAGTCGTAAGTTGGATGGTAGGTGTATTTTAACAACTTATAAAGGTCAGCTACTAATAAGACACTAAGTATGGACAGTATTAACCCTTTCAGGGTCCGTCCCGTAGATCTACGGCTTTACGTTCAGGGTCCAAACCGTAGATCTACGCCATGAGCTCAGCTCACTCTGATAAACTGTGAGTGGTACATTTGGGCCTAGATATGAGAGAATACATCTATGTGGTATGTGTGCACCACATAAAACAGATCCTGCAGCACACTGTGTATAATGAGAGAAAAAAACTTAAATCATGATTTTTCGATTAAAACAGCAACTTTGCAGTGTTTTTTCGTATGTTTTTTATAGTTGTATTTGCGATTTCTTGGTCTCATTTGATAGAATGGAAGACATATTACAGAAATAGAGATGATTTTGATTGGTTTTAGCACTGGAAATGGCTTGAAACTGAGCTCAAAGTAGCGGAAATGTTAAATTTTTGCCAATATTCAAGAGTAAACAAACGAACTCACACGTCTAATACACGTCAGCTGGTGGGTCTAATATACATTCACAAATATGGTGATGATATTTATACAATTATTACAGTATTGCATAACAGTAAATCTTCTATTTTTTGGTGTGAATAAAAATTCATTATGTGAATAAAAAATCAAAATGGAATTTATTTGTAAAGCCTCAAAACATAACTAATGAACAGAGGAAACGTTAGTTTAGTGCCAGGAATGCCTACATTGTTTATTCTGGACCCTATTTTGAAACTGGAATATTTTGAACTTTGTGTTAAATTGGCCAAATTAACAATTTCCGATCACTTTATTTTGTAGTTGAAACAGTTGACTTGGCGATTTCTTGTGCTCAATCGATAGAATAGAAGTAATACTAGTGAAATAGCTAAGAATTTGGTTGATTGGAATAATGTAATTGGCCTAAAATGGGAGTCAAAGTCGGCAAAATCGCCGATTCGTAAATGTCGCTGACACATCAAAATTCGCGAGAGCATAATTTCGTCAATTTTCCACCAAATTTCGTACTTTTTGTTTTATTACCTTCACAAAAAGATTCTCTACGATTTCATAAGAAAAAATAACAAATTTTTTTTTTGAAAATTCTTGGGACACTGGTGCGTGACTCCAGATTTGGGCCTTGGACCCTGAAAGGGTTAAACAAGAGCCATGAACCCACTAGCTACCTTGCAGGATTAAATTAGGTTTTTTAGCATCTGCAAGTATTACATTCAAACCTGTAAACTCATCCCTATCTTTTAACATCACATTGAGCTTTTTAACTCGCAATTTAATGACAAAATCACCTAGTTTATTAACTCACTATTTACCTGCCAATATTACCATATAGACCTACACCTAATTGTCAACATCAAACTAGATTATTACCAACTGCCAGACCAACCAGGCTGTGATGTCAATGTGGGCCAGCAGGCCACTAACAGCAACAGCCTGGTTAAAAAGGTAATCCATAAGTAAACCTCTCCAAAGTCCAGGCCACAGGTTAAAAAAAAAAAAAAAAAACTGAAACTGATTACAGGTAACTGGGTACAAACAGCAAACGTTGGTACCTGGAAATACGGACATCGGACACTGAGGATGGCCCGGTGGACGGGGAAGATGGCTCCCTGGAACACCAGGTCAACATCTGTGCAGTACTTATAGTCAAAGAGGTCACTCAGATCTTGTTTGTAAGTTGGAGCTGGCGGTCGAGCAAGATCAGCCTGAAAAAATATTTTTATACTAGAAAAATATACATCTTCTTTCAACAAACTGGCCATATCCCACAAAGGCGGGGTGGCCCAAAAGAAAAAACTAAAGTTTCTCCTTATAAATTTAGTAATATATACATGAGAAGGGGTTACTAGCCCCTTGCTCCTCGCATTTTAGTCATCTCTTATGACATGCATGGCTTACAGAGGAAGAATTCTATTCCACTTCCTCATGGAAATAAGCAGAAATAAACAAGAACATGAACTAGTAAGAAGATAAAACAAAACCCAGAGGAGTGTGTATATATATGCTTGTACATGTATGTGTAGTGTGACCTAAGTGTAAGGAGAAGCAGCAAGACGTACATAAAATCTTGAATGTTTACGAGACAAAAAAACACCAGCAAGCAATCCTACCATCATGTAAAACAATTACAGGCTTCTGTTTTACACTCACTTGGCAGGATGGTAGTACCTCCCTGGGTGGTTGCTGTTTACCAACCTACTACCTAGAAAAAATGTACAAACATTTACAATATACAATATACACAGTATTTACAGCTAAGTTACAACTAAGTTACTTACCTATTTATTTGCCCATCTAAGTCATTTATGCATACTGTGAGCACAGGGGTCTGTGTTGGCACCCTTACAGTTCACAATATACGAAAATGACTCTGATGAGGGAATAAATAGCAACATAAGCAAGTTTAATGGCGACACAAAAACAGGCCATCAAATAAATTCTGATGAGAACACACGGGAACTACAGAATGACCTAGATAGGCTGATGCTGTGGTCAGAGAAATGGCAAATAAAGTTTAATGTAGACAAATATAAAATTCTATATCTGGGGAAAGAACGAAACTATGGTACCTATAAACTAAACAATGAAGATCTCAATCAAACTTACTGCAAAACAGACGTATTTATGGTTAGCAGTAAACTAGTACATCCAAGACAACAGTGCGTAAGTGTTCACAACTGTGACTATACTGCTAGTTACACCTGTGACAGATATGTCAGAGGTATTCTTAGCTCTACCTTTTCAATTATGCATACTGTTACTGCTTTACCACCTTCTCAATCTAACTTACTCAAGACCATACTACGACTGCTTCTGGGCCTCTCATTAAGAAGCACTGTACTTAATCACACTTGGCTCTCATAAGCTATAATTCAACAACCTCAAGGTGCTGAAGACTTTCTGAAGAAGCATATTCAACAAATACTAAGACTTAAGCCTCTCTGACAAGCACTGTAATAGAGTAATGGAAACTTGCTTATGCTAAGATGCAAGAATGGGCAGAAAAGTTGAGGATGGGCTTAGTAAGACCATAAAAGTGGGGAGAGAAGCAACAGCAGTCAGAATAAGAACATGGTGGCTGAGAAACTGCAGAAGACTACCAAGTGATGCTGATGGGCCTACCTGTTGATACTGGGAGAGGGGTCACAGCCCCTACTGTCTGGTCCTGGACCAGGCTTCCCATTGTTATATGGTAATATTAATCATGGAAAAAGAAGCTTCATTTACCTCCCCCAGACAATGCTTCTGTAGATGACTGTTACTAACCAGTGTACCAACTATCAAAGTGGACAAAATAGCATCTAGCTCATATAACATTTGTTTCTTACCTGCACGGTGAGATCTTTGAGAGCGGCACTTGCTTCATATTCCTCATACAATGCTGTCACCTCCCGCACCATCCAGTCACTCACCAGCTCTCGGATCACCCGTGCATGATCACACGACTTCGATGACCGTCTCCGACGAATCAATTTTTTTCGTAGGGTTGCCAGGCTTGTCAATTTCTTTTTTTTTTCCCTGTAGGAATAATAATACATTTATTCAGCAATATAAGATACACATAACACAGCACTGAACTCTTAACTATCTTATATTTTATACCCACTGTAACTCATTTGGAAAGAGTTATATTTATTTTAAATTAATTAAAAATAGATATGGTCTGTTTGCATTAGGACGGCCAAGGTAGGTATGTAGGTACAAAATTAGTATGTGAAGCTGTAATATGGTGTCTGAAGCTAAACCTGTTGATTAATATTTCATGAACTGTATGTATCTGGTTGTGCCTGGTGATAGGGGTTCTTTTGACACAATTACTGTATATTCCTTATGGCATTATAGAAGGAAAAAAAAAAAAATTATAACCCCCTTAGTTGTCCATGCCATAGTTCTATGGATTTCATGTCACCATCCATGCCGTAGTACTACTACGCCATGAGCTCAGCTCACTTAGATAAGCTGTGGGTGGTAAATTTCGGCCTAGATATAAGAGAATACGTCTATGCAATAAGTGTGCACCATATAAAAAAAACTGTGACCATGTTTTTGGTTTAAAACACCGACTTTGTGGTGTATTTTTGCATGGTTTTTATGGTTGTATTCTTGGTTTCCTGGCCTCACTGGAAGATATATTACGGAAATAGAGATGATTTTGATTAGTTTCAGGACTGAAAATAGCTTGAAATTTAGCTCAAAGTAGCTGATATGTTCAATTTTTGACGATATTCCAGAATACACAAATTACATCACTCTTTCAATGTGTGTCCAACTGGTCAGTTTAATACATGTTCAGGAATGCATTGACATTATTTATACAATTATCATAATAATGCAGTAGTCTGCATAGCAGTAAATCTTCTATTATTTGTGTGAACAAAAATTCAAAATGGAAAGCAACCATAATATAGGAAAGGCATGGGAATGTAACAAATGAACAGAGGAAATGGTTTTTTAGTGCCATAAATGTCTACAGTGTTTATTCTGGACCTTATTTTTAAACTGGCAATTTTTTAATTTTGTGTGAAAATGGCCAAATTACCAATTTCTGATCACTGTACAGTATTTGGTAGTTGAAATAGGCAAATGGGTGGTTTCTTGTACTCAATTGACAGAACAGAAGAAATACTAGTGAAGTACCCATGAGTTTGGTTGACTGAAACAGTGGAATTGGCTGAAAATAGGGCTCAGATTGGGCAAAATCACCAATGCGTAAATATCGCTGAGACTGATTTGTGAGAGCGTAATTCCATAAGTTTTTCATCAAATTTCGTACTTTTGATTTCATTACCTTCAGAAAAAGATTCTCTATCATTTCATTAAAAACTTTTTTTTAAATTCTTGGATACTGAAAGCCATTCTCAGATCAGAGGTCTGGACAGTGAAAGGGTTAAAGAATGTGATTAGTCTGCTTGCGTTTGACAGAACACAGGAAATTGATGCTACAGTTCACAACACATTTATGTTATGATGCCTGAAATGACATTCTGACCTGTTATAATTTTTTTGCACAACATTCTATTTTTTCAAATACAGTGGTACCTTGGCATACAAGTTTAATTCGTTCCATGACCCAGCTCGTAACTCAATTTGCTTGTATATCAAATAAATTTTCCTCACTGAAATTAACTGAAATGTCATTAATCCATTCCAGAAGAATTCCTGGCTCTCAGGAAGCAGGAGAAAATACTTCATTATAATGCTAATATCAACTCTACAGCTTATTTATCTATCACAATTGATCTAATATGACATAATAAACAATATAAATAACATGGAAACATGATACATGTATATATGTACTCTAGAATGAATAAAATACGTCATTATGTGACAAGTGGTGACAGCCACTCCCAAGGTAAAAATAATTATAGCTCTGACCATGTCTTCCCATTCTTGCCCTTCTGACATCTTATTATAAGAGAAAATGGAGTGTTTGTGAGGCTAACTGCACTAGATCACTAGTTTCATAAGGAAAATAATGAAACAAAAGCAATTTTCTCTAAAAAATTTTTTCCCCAAGTCAGGAGACCGGCCTACGTCTTAGGTGAATATCTCGGAAGTAAATCGGCATAAATGCCTCGTGCCTTCTTGCAGAGAAGGCATGAGGCACAAAGAACATACTACGCTTGTACTGCCTCATCAAGTCGACCACACATACGCACCTCGCTTGTGTTTTTCTATGATTTCATACTTTAATTCAATGGACATCATCCTCCTCTTCTCAGCACTCTCCTTTGCACTTACAGTGGACCCCCAGATTACGACATCATCAGATTACATAAAATTCGGATTAAGTAAAGTTTCTGTGTCAAAATACTGGCTCGGTTAACGACAAAGAACTCGGTTCAAGTCAATCGTCCCGAATGTGTGTGCGGCCAGAGTGGCTCGGCCACTCCATATACAGCCAGTGTGCCATTGTTTACAAGCCAGTGAGGACGATTCCATGCGTACATGCGATACATTTTGCATTATTCCATTGTGTTTAGTACCTTTAACTGCTAAATAAGCCACCATGGGCCAAAGAAAGCTTCTAGTGCCAGCCCTGTGGTAAAGAGGGTGAGAAATACTACTGAATTCAAGAAAGAGATCATCACAAAATATGAAAGTGGAGTGTGTGTCTCCGAGCTGGCCAGGTTATAACAAACCCCCATACAACCATCGCTACTATCTTGGCCAAGAAAAAGGCAATCAAGGAAGCTGTTGCTGCAAAAGGTGCAAATATGCTTACAAAACAGAGATCACAAATACTCAAAGATGTGGAGAGATTGTTGTTGGTGTGGATCAATGAGAAAATTGTAAAGTAAAAGGACACAAGTGCAACTAATGTGACATTTTATTCTGTCGGCTTGACAAAGCTCCTGGACAGTGAAACGTTGCCACAATAAAATGTCACATTAGTTGCACTTGTGTCCTTTTACTTTACATATTGTCGGTAATTCTACCAACATTATTACAAAAAGAAACAATTATCAGGAGATAATATTTCGCGGTCAGTTATATGTGAAAAGGTAAGGCAGTTGCATAATGATCTCGTAAAGAAAATGCCTGAAACTAGTGCTGATATTGATGAATTTAAGGCCAGCAAAGGCTGGTTTGAGAGATTTAAGAATCGTAGTGGCATACAGTGTGACAAGGTATGGTGAGGCTGCCAGTTCTGACAAAAAAAGCAGCTGAAAAATATGTGCAGGAATTTAAGGTACATAGAGGCTGAACAATTAAAACTCAAACAAGTGTTCAATTGTGATGAAACAGGCCTGTTTTGGAAGAAAATGCCCAACAGAACCTACATTACTCAGGAGGAAAAGGCACTCCCAGGACACAAGCCTATGAAAGACAGGCTAACTCTCATGTTTTGTAGTAATGCTAGTGGGGATTGCAAAGTGAAGCCTTTACTCGTGTATCACTCTGAAACTCCCAGTGTTTTCAAGAAAAACAATGTCATCAAGATATGTGATGTGGAGAGCAAACAGTAAGGCATGGGTCACGAGGGACATATTCTATGATTGGTTCCATGACGTGCTTCGCCCCACTGTGAAAAAATACCTCCTGGAAAATAAATTGGAACTCAAATGCCTCCTGGTATTAGACAATGCTCCTGCTCATCCTCCAGACTTGGAAGAGTGAATGGTGCTGGAGTTTAGTTTCATAAAAGTCAAGTTTTTGCCTCCTAACACCACTCCTCTCCTTTCCTCCAGCCCATGGACTAGCAGGTCATTTCAATTTTCAAAAAAAAAACTGTACACTAAAGCAGTGTTTCAAAAGTGCTTTGAAGTGACCTCAGACACTGAATTCACCCTAAGAGAGTTCTGGAAAGACCACTTCAGTATCCTCAGTTGCATAAACTTTATAGGTAAGGCTTGGGAGGGAGTGGCTTGCAGGACTTTAAACTCTGCTTGGAGAAAATTGTGGCCAGAATGTGTACAAGAGAGGGATTTTGAAGGGTTTGGGGCTGACCCTGAGGAGCCTATGCCAGTTGTGGAATCTACTGTGGCACTGAGGAAGTCCATGGCGAGGATGTGGAAGAGTTGGTGGAGGGCGATGAAGAAGAGCTAACCACTACAGAGCTGCAAGAGCTTGAGGTGCAACACTAACAGACCACAGCTCAGGAATGTCCTTCAGAGGAGGAGGAGGAAGAGAGATGGAGAAGTTGCCTTCTTCAAAGATTAAGGACATTTGTGCAAAGTGGATTGAACATCACCCTGACACAGCTGTTGCAGGCTGTGCTGGCAACATCTACAAATGACAATGTTGTGCCCCATTTTAGGGAAATCTTAAAGAGACGCCAGAAATAGAGCTCTCTGGACAGATTTTTGGTGCGACAGGGGTCCAGTGACTCAAGCTGGTCCTAGTGCCATTAAAAAACAAAGAAGGGAATTAATCCCTGAAAAGGACTTGCTACCTGAAGTCTTTATGGAAGGGAATTCCCCTTCCAAATAATAATACACCTCCATCCTCTCCCCTCCTCCCATCTCATCACTCATCAATAAGTCTTCAATAAAGGTAAGTGTCATTTTAGTATTGTTTATTCTGCATGTCTCATTGTTTTCTGTGTAGGAAAATGTATATTTCACGTGAAAAAATTATTTTGTTTAATACTTTTGGGTGTCTGAAACGGATTAATTTGATTTCCATTATTTCTTATGGGAAAAATTAATTCGGATTACGACAGATTCAGTTAAAGATATGTTCTCTAGAACGGATTAACGTCGTAATTCAGGGGTCCACTGTACTTTCTTAGGACCCTTGGTTAGAAAACAGAAATTTGGCAAAATAACTGCACAAAATGCAAGCACAACACAAGAGAGATGCTTCCACGGCGAGGTAACCATGTGCACTGTCGTGGCATTCGCTGTGCCAACTAGTGGTGGCGTATCTGAAGCTCGCTCGTAACTCGGATTTTGGCTTGTAATGCAAAGCAAAAAACTGAACAAGCGACAGCTCGTAACTAGGAAAACCCGTAAGTTGAGGCACTCATAAGTCAAGGTACCACTTATACTAGTTTTGTCCTTGCCTGTATT